AAGCTTGGAAGAATGAACTCCACTCGCCATCAAATTGGTACTGACTGATTAACACTATGGTGCTCAAAGGGTGGTGGTGTTCACCAGGGATTCGGGGGTTGGGTGGGTAGACCCACATCTGACGGATGTGGTAAGCATTGTGGAGGGTAAGGGCATACCTCTAACCCTTGCTAGGGAGAGGCAAAGATATAAAAAGCAACGAAAATGTTTGTACTCTCATATTTTCTTGAAATAAAAACAATAAAGAAAGAAAATTTGGGGACAAAGAAAGTAACACAAATAAAAAACAACCATTATACTACCACACAGAGATAATCATTGTTTATATAATGATGGATTTCATTCTATAAGCTTATAAACATAATTATTTTATTTATTTTTATTGACAAATAAAAATTGTATATATTTAGGGTGTGTGACATGGTGTTGAAAAATACACAGTTCTTTTTATTTTCCAAAATTGTGGTTACTCTGGACATATAGTTTTGTACTGATCTCAGATTTTGAAAGGACATACAAAAAATGTGGAAAGAAGAGCATATAAATAAGAGTGGCTGAGTATCGTGGCTCACACCTATAATCCTAGCACTTTGGGAGGCCAAAGCAGGAGGATTGCTTGCGGCCAGGAGTTCAAGACCAACCTCACCAAGAACAAGACCCAGTCTCTACAAAAACCAGAAAAATTCTCCAGGCATGTGGTTCATGTCCACAGTCCCAGCTACTCAGGAGGCTGAGGCAGAAGGATCACTTGAGCCAAGGAATTTGAGATTGCAGTGAGCTATGCTGACACTACTGCACTCCAACCAGGGCAACAGAGCAAGACCCTGTTTCAAAATAAAAAAGAGACAGAGAGAGAGAGAGAATGCTACAATTTCTAAGTATATGTTAATAAAAAGTTAAAACATACACACACAAAAAAAAAAAAAGAAGAAGAGGAAGAAAGAAAATTCACTAAACAGAGAGAATGATGCAGACAAACCTTCTAATCCTCGCAGACTCACATTCCAGCAGTTAGTTCTCTTACAATCCTAGATCCCAATGGCACATTTCAAACCATCCCAGAATCACTTGCTTCTTTGCAGGTGCCAGCATTTGTAGTTCTCACTGCAGGCTGTCCACACTACTATGTGCTTTTTGAAGGAAATCACCAGCCTGGCTAACTGGGATCACCACAGCCATCAGCCACTCCAGCTGGGCCATCACTGCTGCTGTCCCATCTTGCCTTGGGTCTCCTGCCCTGCTCTACCTAGAACTCCTTCCTAAGGCTCCCAATCTACACCTTGCCACTGCTCTTTTCTCCACATGCCTTCTTGCCAATGTTAGCTCCAGCAACATGACTCACTTTTTTTCTTTACAGAAATATCATTCAAATATTTTAATTCTTTTCATAATCATGTATAATAACATTAAATATATTTTTAGAGTTAGAAATTGCTACACATCCCACCACATCAATGCAACTGATTTTATGTTTACATTTTCATCATCTCTTTAGAAATTTGCACATATTTCTTTACTGGGAATATGCTTATATTGTTAAAATTTTATATATATTACATAATCTTTTTGAGTTCCATTTTAAATGGCCACATCATATATTCCAAAGAATTGAAATACCTTCTGATGACCTGAAGTAAATTGGAACCATTCCTTGGTTCTCAGACACTTTATATACTTTCTTCTACAACCTGATTTTTGTACTTCCTAGATCATGGACCTTTTCCCAAGTTGGTACATATATTTTCTACATTATTTTAAATGATTGCGTAGCATTCCATAATAAGAATGTAATTTTTTTTCAATATTTAAATTTTTTTAGATTTTTCAATTTTTTTCATTTTGAATAGTTAATACACTCCATGTTGTAAAATCAGAATAAATGAAATGGTACACAGTGAAAAGTCACTCTCTTCTCTTAGTTCTCATCCCCACCCCAGTATGGAACCTTTTTTCTCAGTGTCTTACATTTCCTTCCAGACTTTATTTAGGCAGATACAAGTAAATACAAATGTCATTCTTTACTTTTCCCTCTCTCTTCTTAATTAGAATGTAATATATTTACATATACTGTCCCTCATTTTGTTTTTTTTGTTGTTGCTGTTGTTGTTTTTGAGACAGAGTCTTGATCTGTTGCCCAGACTAGTGTGCCATGGCGTCAGCCTAGCTCACAGCAACCTCAAACTCCTGGGCTTGAGCAATCCTTCTGCCTCAGCCTCCCAAGAAGCTGGGACTACAGGCATGCTCCACCATATCTGGCTAATTTTTTCTATATTTTTAGTTGTCTGGCTAATTTCTTTCTATTTTTAGTAGAAACAGGGTCTTGCTTTTGCTCAGGGGTCTTGAACTCCTGATCTCGAGCGATCCTCCCACCTTCCCACCTCAGCCTCCTAGAGTGCTAGGATTGCAGGTGTGAGTCATCACCTCTAGCCCCTTACTTTGTTTTTGTTTTTTTGAGACAGAGTCTTGCTCTGTTGCCCAGGCTAGAGTGCTGTAGCATCAACCTAGCTCACAGCAACCTCAAACTCCTAGGCTCAAGTGATCCTCCTGCCTCAGCCTCCCAAGTAGCTGGGACTAGAGGCATGCACCACCATCCCCAACTAATTTTTTTTATATATGTATTTTAGTTGACCAATTAATTTTCTTTCTATTTTTAGTAGAGATGGGGTCTTGCTCTTGATCATGTTGGTTTCGAACTCCTGACCTTGAGCGATGCCCGCCTCGGCCTCCCAGAGTGCTAGGATTACAGGCATGAGCCACCGCACCCAGCCCTCACTTTGTTTTTTGCAATTAATAACTTATCTTGGAGATTGTTCCAACTCAGTGCATACAGAGTTTTCTCATTCTTTGTTCTACAGAAGCCTGGCTCCCTACAGTGTGGATGTCATCCTTGACTTCCACATTAAGGACATTGTGGTCATCACTTTGCCTCCTGATCCCAGCTCTTCCCATTAATTCCAAAACCTTGTTCCGTCCATTATCCACCTCAATCCCTTTTTACTGACTTACATCTTTCCCCCTACAAACATGTCAGGTCTCATATGCTAAAAGAGAACTTTCCCTTTACTCTGAAGCCCCTGAAGGCTCCTGTAACCTTCAAACCTCTAGGTAGAAGTGTTTTCATCTTCATCCACAGCTTCCCTTTCACCACCCATTCTTTCCTTGACACTTTGTGATCTGCCTTCTGTTTTCTTTCTCTATTAAAACTGATTTCTGGAAGGTCATCTAATAGAAATATTCAGCAGGCTGGTCTATTTATCTCTGTCCACACCCCTCTAACATCTGAAAAATGGATACCTATTCATTCACTCCTTGACCCCTTATAAAATGGTTTCTGTCCACTCTGCCCCCTTCATACTAAAACTGATCCCCAAGTGATCATCTAACCTGTTAGTGGACAATCTCCCAGTAATCTGGCTGTGGCTCCCTTCTTCCACCTCCACTCCAGGTTCTTCTGTTACACCTACTCGCCATTATAGCCAAAGCCCTAGAGATTCTGTCTTCCCAATGGCTTCACTTGTCTCCTCTCCGCTCAATTTATTGTTGTCTATTACCCCTAAATCAGATCCTAATTTCTGATTATCTGGACTGTTAATAGTGGGCTCCTAACAAACCTTTCTCTCTCCAGCCTCTTTCTGAAAACTGCAGGTTTTACATCATTCCCTTCCTCAATACTTTTATTTCCAAATCAATTAAGCGCAAACTCTCCAATCTGATATTCAAGTGCTTCCACAATTTTAACACAATTCAATATGTGTTGGCATCAGCCAGCACTATCTTCCACTGCTATAGTAAGCATACTCTATGCTCCAGCCAAAGCCATCTATTTATTTTTCACAGAATATGACATGTGCTTTTGCACCTCCAGGCTTTGGCTCAAGCTTTTTTTGTTCACCTAGATGATGCTTCTCCTCCATCTCTGCTGTTCTCAATCTCTTGCTCCCCTAATTTCACTTGCCATGATATCTTCACTAACCTTCCACCAAATGTATGTAGTTATTTGTGCAGTTTTTATACTTCCATGCTGGAGTCTAAATTCTATTAAAATTCCACGCTGCATTTAGTGAGCCCTTCTGTGTGCCAGCCATGTGCAAAGTGATCGACTTGCATTATCTCATTTAATCCACATACCAACAGCATTAGACCAGGACTCTCCCATTTAACATTAAGCAAACTGAGGCTCAGGGAGATTAAGTAGCTTGCAGCAGCTATCATGCAGCTAATGGTGGTGGAATCAAACCCCTCCCTAAGATTCACGTTTGTGTTACTTATGATAGCCAGAACAGCGTCCACCACCTACACTGCACTCAACTTGTGTGTCAGCTCAGCATGTTAAAAACGGCGTCTGCCTGTAGATCAAGACTCCAAGGAGATGGGTTGGGGGGAGATTGAGACAACAATGAATTAGGATGGCAAGCTTGTCAGTGATGTTTCCAAATTTAACTATTGGGGTATAGAGCTTTAGAAATAAGTATTTACAATATAGAGTTAGGAAACAGGATCTTATTTACTCTTACGTAGTATAATTGTTATGGGGAGGTTAGTTTTATCTTTCTGATTTTACTGTTATCCCTCCAGGATTATCTCTATTCCCTTGTGTTCCCAAGCTTTCGGCGCACTGCTCAACACACGGTGTGCGTACTTGTTGATTTTAATGTATGTGTGTTCGCATATGTGCACAGCAACTGGGTAGAGGACGTGGGTGTGGGATGCAGTTTGCATTCCTTCTCCTCATTCTTGCTCCTTTGAGCAGCTGCAGCCTGGATGCTTTCCTTCTCGGGGAGTGGGGGGAGGCAGAACCGCTGACCCTTTAACAAGTTGTCCCTCACAGAACAGGTGTCTCCCCCGACTCTCAGTGGAGAGGGATGGCTGGATACTTAGTGACATCAGCCACGGGCCAATGAGAAGTCAGGCTTCGGCAGCCGCGCCAATGGGCGGCCGGGGGCGGGCCGGGTTTCCTGGGAGCCGGGCTGGCCGGGCTGGTCCTGCGGCCGCAGCGGAGTCTCGGCCGCTCGCGCCGCCCGGTGTGGCCCCGGCGACTCCCGGCGGCTCCGGTGGCGGCGGCGTTCCCCTGCCCGCGCGGCTCGCAGACGCACGGCTCGGGCGCCTCCCGCCGCGGCGCAGCTCCCGCCGCTCGGCTCCCGCGGCGGCGCGCTCATGCCCCCGGGCGCGGGGCGCGCAGGCCGGCCGGCCGCCGCTGGGAAATAGGCCCCCGGGGGCGGCGGCGGCGGGACCATGGCGCGGAGACCCGGGGCGCCGGCCGCCTACAGGGACGAGTTCTCCTTCGTCAGCCCGCTGGTGAAATACCTGCTCTTCTTCTTCAACATGCTCTTCTGGGTGAGTCTTGGGGGTCGTGGGGGCACCTGGGCTGCAGGGCGCCCCGGAGGGCGGAGGGGCTGTCCGCGGCTGAGGAGGGGGCGGCCGGGATGGCCCGTGCAAGGCGAGCGTGGTGAGCGGCACTGCCTAGTTTTCTGGGCCGACGGCACTTTGGGGGAATTTATCCTGGGGAGGAACACCACCGTGGCGCGCAGTGTCTGGAGGTGTCGTGGGAAGGAGGGGGTATGCAAGGGATTCAATAAAGACATGGATATTTTCTGGGGGTCGGATGAGGGTCTGTGTCAGGCCAACAAGGTGGGTTCAACGGAGGAGCGGGTTTTCCTGTTGACCCAAGGTGGACCCACGGGCACGTTCATGACTGGGGGACTTTCAGTCCTGAGGGCTGGGAGGCCCCGCTGGCAAAAGGAGAAGAGAAAGGGAGGGAAAAACCCAAACCTTCCCTCCCCCTTGCCTCAGAGAGGATGGGTTAAGGGGCTTCCTTTTGCAGGCCTCTGGTGGCCCTCCAGAGGCTGAGAAGAATGGCCTCCAGGTGCAGATGTCATTCCCATACCAACACTGCCCCAAAGTTTACCTGCTCCCCTTCCTCAGGGCCAGACTCTACCCCTGGGGTCTGACAGTCCTCAGCTTCTTTAAGTAGAATCCCCTGTGTTGGGCTGGAAGGCCAGGGGTCTTTTCAGAATCTTCTTCTTAGGGGTAGAAAAGTAGAAAAAGTACTGGACTGGGGCTCCAGACACCTGGATTCTCATCCCTACTCTGCCATTAATTGTTGACTTGACTGACCTGGGCAAATACCGTCATATCTGCAGGCCTTAGTTCCTTCCCCCATAAAATCAAACCCAGTATGATCAGGGTGGCAGAAATACTCTGTTGGAGCTGAGGATTTGGCTGGACCAGATCATGAAAAGCTAGCTGGATCCTGTTTCATGGCTAGAGAGTCCCTGGGCCCCTTGGGATTTGAGAACCTAGGGAGGTCCTTCCCCGCTTTCCCCAGTTTCTCTTCTGGCTCCTTCCACACCAGAGCTGCTGCTCTGGGAGCCCATCGTCCTTGCTCACCTCAGCTGGAGACCTACAGTCCAGACTTGGAGGCGGAAGGAATCTTGAGTCTAAAATATGTTTCCTAGGAGAGGGAGCAGACCAGTGCTAGAAAGGTTTCACAACAGCTATGGGGTGAAGTACAGACATAAAGCACATAAGTGCTGGCCTGTTGGGACAAATGAGAGAAATCCCGGAGAGTGGTGATGACAATTCACTCTCCACCATTGCACTCTTGGGAAAAATGAAATTCGGGTTCCTATAAAATTTTCAATTTTCGAACTAGAAAAAAAATTTAGAAGAAATCTTGTCCAGCATCTGCATTTTATCTATAAAATATAGAAAGCTGAAGCATAGAGATGTTAAATGTTTTGTCAAAAGTCCAGAGGCTGGTTAGCAGGCTTGGTCTGGTGATTTTTCCACTGAAGCACAGTGCCTCTAGGGGAAGTCCTTGGCCCAGATGGCTGCTACTCTCGCTGGGGTATTGGCAGTATTAGTAGTTAACCAGTCAACCCAAGTTCCCGTGGTCTAGGTTCTGCTTCAGCTGGTGGTTAGGGAAGAACAGAAGAAAAACCCTCTCTACCACTCTGCCAGGGCTAGGGGAATGTGCTAGGGGAACTCCCCACCTACAGGAAGTACCAGTGAAGTTTCCTGCATGCTCACGAGTGTGCCAGGCCAGTGACATGCCATCCTCAGAGACAGCGCTAGCATCCCAGAGACCTCAGGTTGTCATTCTGGTTTCCTCTGTCAGCCAAGACTGTCTCCTTTGGAGCCATTGACAACTCACCCTTGTCTGTGCTCCCCAGCAACAACAGCTGGGTGCATCTGTTACACTTGTGTTCCTGGTCTTTTTTTTTTTTTGCTTCCCCACCCCTCTTTTATCAGACAAATGACTTTGGGAGGTTGCAGCCAGGAAAGAGTTTGGCTCCATAGACCCATTTACCTTGGTAAGAATGTTTCACTCAAGGTCAGAGGACCTGGCTAGCCAAGCTAACACCACCCCAAGTTAGAGTCGAGTCCCTTCTTGGCAGTACTGTAGACTCATAAAAAAGTCGGAGGCTCTAGAAATAGCACACTGTAGGACAAGAGGCCCAGCTTCTTTGGTACCAACTTACTGTGTGACCCTAAGCCAATGTATCTGTCTCTCTGTCCTTAATCTTTCTCCTGTAAAAGAGAAAATTTTTCTTCCTTGGTGAACTATTTAGAGATGAGTTAATCGCTTTGGGGACTGTTCAAGTCCTGGGGCTAGATCTAAGGATGAGTCTCTTTGTGTCCTGGTCTCTCTGGAATGTTGCCCTCCCCAGGGAACAGTATTTTTCAGGTATTACTGAGTGTCACTTCTCCCCCAAGCCCAGAGCTGCAGAGTTACATTCCACACAAGTATAGCTGGAGATAAAGGGCTGCTTCTCCAGTTCAGGGGATATCTTTCTTGTCATCTCCTCTTCAGGTACTGACTACTGTGCTTTCTCTTTTGCACCATCCTAATCAAATTCCCCTCATCTGCTCAGGGAGCACCTGTGGGTGGGATGGTCAGCTCATACCCTTTGCAGGCAGAGTGCATGTTCTGGCCAGCTGCTGGGGTTGCTGTGTAGGGGTGGTGTTTGTATCTGTGCCTGGAGCACATTAGGAAGATGGCCAGCATTGCCTGGGCTCACGCTCGGTGGTGGTGGTGGTGGTGGTGGTGGTAGTGGTGGTGGTAGTGGTGGTGGCGGCGGCAGTGGCTACCTCTGCTACTGTTCTAGGAGCCCCAACTCTGGGGCATTTGGAGTCTGACTTAGAAAGCTGCTGGTTCCTTTGGGTGTTCATGTTTCAAATCTCACTTCTCCTTCGGCCTGGGAGTTCTGATTTTCTTCCCAGAAATCATGTTGCTGGGTTACAGATTGTTGGGATCCCATAGCCTAGAGTAATTACGCCATGATCCTAGAAGTTGTATTTAAATATTTTGGTTAGGAAGTAGTTGCCTTTCCTCACCTCCCTCTGTTGGACAGCTCTGTACAGAGGTAAGACATTGGGGTGGTACATGCCTTATCAGCCCTGGGCATATGCTGTCAGGGATATTATCAATGCTGCCCACTTCCTTCCCTTCTGGTCCTATTTCCCACTCAGGGCAGGAGTTGGGTGGCTTTTGAGTCAGGCAGAGCCCAGAAGCTCTGGTCTCCAGTCCCTGTATCTCAGCCCAGGCTTCCTTGGTGGCCATGCCTCAAGGCTCCCATGGCACCTTGCATATACTTCGACGGTCACATTCCTTAACTATGCTGCAATTGTGTGTGTATTTGTCTGTCTCCTCCTCTACGCTTCGGGCTCCTGAGGGTAGGCACTGGCCTGTTCACTTCTGGATTCCCAGTGCCCAGCTGTGTTTGGCAGAAACTGGGTACTTACTGAATATTTATAGAATGGCAAGTGAGACAGCAAACCCCACAGGGCAGAGGCACAGATGCAGCACAAACCTGGAGTCCTCAAGCATTCTTGGTGGTATGGTACCCAACTGTGTTCTCTTCTGAAATGGGTCTTGTGGCCTGCCACCTCTGTCTCTAGCCAGGTGAGAAAAAGTGGCAGCCATCCCTTCCAGCACCTCCTCTGAGCCACACATAATTACTCTCTATAGCATCTGAACTTTTCCACTTCTACTGTAGCACTGTGGACTCCTATTCAGATCCACCCTAGGCTGATCCAAGCCACTGGTGAGGCATCTTCCTCAAGAAATCTACTCTCCCATCCAGCAGCATTGTATAGGAGTCCCTAGAGCACTCAGAATCACCCCAACCACCTGTAGCACCATCTTGTCACCTGGCTCAGAAGCCACGAGGAAGTAGCCAGGCATCAAGCCTGGCAAAAACTCCTTCAAGTAGCCACCCAAGCCCCCTATCCTCCTTTATACTTCCAAATAAACTAGGAGGCAAGCTCACCCCTCCCACTTTCCCCTTACCTTCCTCATGCACTAGGCTGGCTTTAATAACTGAAGTAGCCAGATTCTTTTTATAAAAACCACAAAAAAATGCAAAATACTGAAAATGAAGATGAGAACCATACCCTTTGCTATACCATACCCTGCATAGCATGCATGCCTTCCTAACTCTCCTAGTAACTGTGTTTGCCTTGTACCAAGTAGAAAATCATAAACTTCAAACGGCCTTTAAAAAGAAGTAAAGAAAACATAGATTGCCTCTCAGAGTCTGGGTATCAGGCTGTGCATTGGACCGGTCACTCCAAGGCCGTGGGTTTGAATGTTTATATTAATATTACTGTGAGGCCTTGGGGACTTCCTTTCCTCATTCATAACCTTAGAAGACCAAAACCAGCCATGGCCTGAGGAAGATGCCAAAGGCTTGGCCCCAGCATTGTCGAGGAAAGAGTCTTGTGGCCTCCTCCACTCCAGCGGGACGGTACCATCCAACCCAGAGGGAGAAAGCTGAGAGCCAGTTTCACATGATCAGTTGCCACCACTGAAATCCAGAAACAGGAGTGCCAAGGTGACCACAGAAGGACCAGCATGTGCAGATCCTGGGCAGGGAGAGAGAGAGCACCCTGCTTTGGGTCTAGCAGGCTGTGACTTCTTTGACTTCATCCAGAAATAAGGATGGAAATGACTGAGCAACCAGAGGTGAAGGCCCCTCCCTCCCCACTTCTCTCTGAGTAGGGACAGGGTCTGATTCCCACACAGGAAACCACTCTACCCTCAGCGGTCCCCTACCCTCATCTTCACAACAAGAGGGAAATAGATTCTGAGGAGGAGGAGGGGACTCTGAGCCAGTTCCCCTGCTTCTTGCAGGGGAACTTCTGGGCTTTGGAAGACAGACAAGACCAGGGCTTTCCCTCAGAGGCTGCCCGGGCTGGCATGCCCTATATGTCGTGCTGTGTCTTCCCTTTTCAGGGTGCTGTTCCAGTGACTTCCCTCTGAGCTATCTGCTGGGGCTGCCACCACCCTGGCACCTCCTGGCCCTATCTTCCTTCCCTTGCTTAAGCCTCAC